TGGAAATCTCCTGTAACTTAGAATATGCTGTGAATTACATTGTTGGAGGAAGCTCATATATTCAAGGTCAAATGATGAGGATGATTCTATCCCTACCCATGTATTTGCATGTCACCATGAATGCCATTCATCTGAGATCTGGTCAATGACTAAGGATAATAGAAGAAGAATCAATGCCTTTGAAGTGTGGTGCTGAAAGAGAGTACTGTACATACAATGGACTGCCAAGAGAACAAACGGGTCTGCCTGGAGAAGTTGAAACCAGGTTGCTCCTTGGAAGCAAGAATTTTGAAATTTCATCTCACATACTTTTTTGTATATTGTCAAAAAGGGCTAGCTAGTCTTTGGAGAAGGCCATTTTGCTTGGAAGGGTAGAAAGCAATCAAAAACAATGAAAACTCTGGATGAGATGGATTGGTACAGGCGCAATGGGGTCAGGTGTGGTAGAGATAGTGAGGTTGACGCAGGATTGGGCAAGGATGAGCCAATTTTCATAGGGTTGCTATGAGTCATAGTCAACTGTCAACAGCTCATAACAACAACATGAATGCTACATGGGAGCCCTGGTGGCTTAGAGGCAAGGAGTTATACTGCTAACCAAAAGGCACTTGGGAGAATCCACCAACTGCTCCAGGGAAGAAAGAGGAGCAATCTCATCCCATGTGTTTTACTGATTCAGAAAACCCACAGGAAAGTCAGCTATGAGGTGGTTCCGACTTGACAATAAATAACAACAGCATTAGTATGGATGCTACAAGGGAGCTCTGTTGATGTAGTCCATGTTGACTTACTCGCACTGCTAGCCCAAAGACTATGCTGCTCTGATAGTTGGAATATACTAGCAGGTCCTCAAGAGAAAGATGGTCCATCTACAGCTTTAGAAAACTGATGGTGAGTCACTATGAGTCAGAAGTGATTCATGGTTTGAGTTGAGTTTGGTTAGTGTTATATGTTTTTACACAGGTTGCTAACAGACGGTGAGCACCCACCAGCCTCCGGAAAGAGATGAGTCTAAATATTTACAGCCTCTGAAACCTCAGGGAAGGTGGCCATGAGTAGGAATTGACAAGTTGGCAGTGGGTTTTGGGGTTTATTATCAAAATGCTTTTTCCAAACAAAACACTAAAAATCTTTAATTCTACTAAAAGAATATGTTGTTGTTGCTGTTGTTGTTAAGTGTCGTCGAGTCATTGACGAGTCATTGATGACTCATGCGACCCTATGAATGAAAGACCTGAACACTTAGAGCATCATTTTTCCACTGGAAGCTTAGCCACCCATGTATGATATTCTTTATTGATACTTTCATAGCTTAAATACTAAATATTTAAATTCTATAGAAAAATAGAAAATATTTGTCACCGAATTTAGTAAATAGTAACATTTTGCTATTGTTTCTGATCCTTTCCCCCTAATATAATTGTTGTTGATTGCCTTCAAGTAGAGCATGACTCAAAGTGACCCTATGAACAAAAGGCCTGAAAATTTTCTAGAATTATTGACATTTATCAAAGTTGTTAAGGAAATGGATGCCACTCCTGCAGAGCCTGATTTTTATAAGTATTGTTTTCATGCATCATAAATCAATACATAATGTAGTGCTTTTACAATTTTGCATATTAAGTTGTTGTCAATTCTTGCTTTTTTTTTAAAAAAAAAAACCTCTCTATGGGAAAGATAAGTTGAATAAGATATTTGCCAGTGGAAAATATACTAAAACTTCGATTTCTTAGCTCTTAACCCAATGTTCTTTCCCTTTACCTCAGTCAGCTCAAGAGAAGATGAGAAATTCTGACAAATAAGAATTTAACATTCAAGTCCTGGAATTGTTTAAATAAATGTCACAAAGCAGCATCTACCAAAATATAGCTATTAGCTTCTGGCTAGAATTGCTTCATCAGGTTTCTTTTAAAGATGGAGTTTCACACACAGCTGCTTGTTCCAAGCGTATGGTTCCATCAGTCCTAACATGCTGAAAGAAATACACTTGTACTTCATCACTTTCCAAAAATATACACTAGTAAAAGGATATAGGAACCAAAGCTCTGAAAAAGAACAAAATCTTTTCCAACAGCAGTACTGATATTAGCAATTAGTTTCCTGGTTTTATATGCCCTGACTCATCACGGCTTTTGTTCCAACGTGTTGGACAAGAGCAAAAGCATCTCAAGACAAACTTACAAGGGATGGTGTAAAAAGGATATACAATTGGCAAGGGCCTAGGAGTTAAGAATGAACCCTTAACTCAGCATATTAGTTGGGTGGTTTGGTTATTTGAGCATCAGCCCTGGAGGCTCAAACTAGGTTGTAAAACTATAAAGTGATTCACAAGTTAGCAATCCATTTGGCCAACAGTTGCAAGTAAAAAGTGACCTAGAAAGCATAGTATAATAATTTTTGCTGGATAATGTTTGGTTAAAAAAAAAAAAAACAAACCAAAAAACCCCCAAACCCAACCAAGCTTTTAATAACATTGCTAAGGAAAATATCTTTTCAACATGTATACAGAGCAGATTATCCGAGAAGCTGGGCTCTATGAGGAGAATTGTGGCATCAGGATTGGTGGAAGATCTATTAACAATCTGCGTTATGCAGATGACACAACCCTGCTTGCTGAAACTGAGGAGGACCTCATGCACTTGCTGTGAAGGGTCAAGGACTGCAGCCTTCAGTATGGACTAAGGCTCAATGTCAAGAAGACAAAGATTCTCGCCACTGGACCAATTGGCAGCGTCAGGATGGATGACGAAGAAATTGAGAGTGTTCACAGCTTCAGTTTGCTCGGCTCCACAGTCAACACTCTTGGTACCAGCAGTCAGGAAATCAAAAAGCGTATCGCGAAGGGAAAGTCTGCTGTTAGGGACCTCTCAAAAGTACTCAGGAGCAACAGTGTCTCTATGGAGACTAAGGTGCGCCTGATACAGGCCCTGGTCTTTGCAATCGCTTGTTATGCATCAGAGAGTTGGACAATGACTAGGGAGGACAGAAGGAGAGTGGATGCTTTTGAGCTGTGGTGCTGGAGAAGGGTACTGAATGTACCATGGACTGCCAGGAAAACAAACATTCATCTTGGAGAGGATTAAACCAAGCTACGCCTTGGAGGCAAGGATTCTGGGGCTTCGTCTGACATACTTTGGACATGTTGCCAGGAGGGACGGGTCCTTGGAGAGGTACATCATGCTTGGGAGGGTGGAGGGACAGCGCAGGAGGGGAAGACCCTCTATGAGATGGATTGATTCAGTGACTGGGGTAATCGGGATGGGTGTGTCAGAGGCGGTGCGGTTGGCGCAGGATAGAGCAGGGTTTAGGGCTGTTGTGCATAGGGTCGCTATGAGTCAGAAACGACTCGACGGCACATAACAACAACAACAACAACAAGGAAAATATCGAAAAAGACTTGCTAACATTTTACCTATTTTTTAGACAGATTGAATTTTGTGGAATACACAATACTCTAGCTCAAATTTGTAAAAATAAAACCTATTAGAAGGTCTTTGAGGTGGGAAAATAGTTGTTTACTCACCAGATAGATAAAACATGTTTGTAGTATATATGCAAAACTAATGCTAGCCATTTCAAATAATTATAATTTGCCTGTGAATTGGTGGGCTTTTTATACTTTGATCTGGTAATTGAACCCTGCTGGAGATTGTTCTTTGCTGACTTAGGACTTAAAGAGCTGCACTGTTAAAACTCAAAGGCAGCGCTCCTCTGACAGTTTAACTCTACAAACTGCTCCAAGGGAGAAAGACAATCTCATCCTAAGAGATTTACAATCTGGGGGAGAGGGGGGACCGAAACCTGTGTAAGGTCAATGGAAATTAGGGAGAGAGAAAGAGGAAAAACTCTGCAGTACCTACCTTGCCATCTCCTCAAAATCTACCAGCGGCTTCACGTAACAAAGAGTCAAGTCTCTCCTCCCATTTACAGCCTCGGAAACCGGGTGAGTGACGGTTCCGCAGTTTGAGTTTAAGCCTACACAGCCTCTGTTAGAAAACGTCACTCTGGATCTACCTCCCTGATCTTGGGCAGGTCATGATATTTATACTTCTAAAATTATCTATGGCTGTGGAGTAATTTCAGACCCATAGGAACCCTTGTTTCACTTCAATTGTGGAATGCAAATAGACTTTGGGAACTGTCAACATGTGGGTTTTCCCCCCAAATACAAAATACAGTACGTGCCCTGACGTCTTTGACTCTCAGGAGTAACTTCAAAGTGTTCCCGACGTGCCCTGGGATTATTCTGAAGAAAAAAAATTAGACAATGCTGTTGTTAGGTGCTGTCCAGTCAAGTACGACTCATAACGACCCTATGAATTGGAACCTATCCTATCCTGTGCCATCCTCATCATCTCTGTCACACACCTGAGTCCATTGCTGCAGTCACGGTGTCAATCCTTCTCTCTTCCGCCACAGGCCCTAGCATGATGTCCCTTTCAAAGAAATACCCCATTCTAGCAACATGCCCTGAGTCTGCTAGGTGAAGCCATCCTTCCCTCTAAGGACCCTTCTGCTTTCACGTTCTGCAAGTCATATCCATTTGTTCTTTTGGGAGTCCGTGTGATAGACAGTCAGTACTCTTCTCCAACACCACATGTGAAAGGCTTCGATTTTCCTTCGGTCATGCTTATTCACTGTCCAGCTATCAGACACATAGCAAGTAATTGAAAAGACCATGGACATAAAACTCAGTAAATAGTTATTCAACACACCATTTTCCGTTTTCTGGTTCATGTAGGAAAATTTTAACAAACTTGATGAGTGTCTTTATAAAGTTGCAGAAAGCTGAGAAGTGGATGAAGTACTTTATTTATTTATTTTCTTTTTAGTGGGGTGGCGGGGAGTTTCTTTCCAGTCACTAATTTCCAAGCAGGTCAGTGGCCCCGAGCAAAGCTGCGGAGCCTGCGAGCCTGTGCTTCCGCCCGCCACGGGGCGCTCTGCCCCGCGCCGGTTCCGGAGGGGCGGGGGGACGGAAGAGGCGGAGCGCGGCCAGCAAGATGGCGCCTTCCGTGATGTTGAATTCTTTCTCTCGGCTGTTGACCCCGGCCCGGCTCCCGAGCAGCCGTGAGTGTCCTTCCTTGAATCAGGAGCCCTGACTCCTGCGTGTTCCTCTCCCAGAATGGGGCCAGTCGGCAAGGGCAGAGGGTAGCTGTGCCTTGGGCTCACCCATGCGTGACCTTCGTTAGCCATGAGCCTGGATCCCCCCGCCGCGGACCCACCTCCAAGCGCTACCGGATCCCCTTGACCTAAGCGAAGGAGCTTGGGGTTTCCCACTTCTCACACTATCACCACTTTTGCACACTTCGTTCCTGTAGATGCAGGAGGGAGATCTTGCTGGAGGCGCCGCAGTTGTCTGAGGGTCCCGAGCCCGTAGACTGGGATCTGAAGACGTGTTGGAGGGCTGGGGCTCTATTGGAATCTGTTTACTTTTATGTTTACCGCGTTGCTGCACACTTTTAAATTGAGACCGTGCTTAGAAACACATTTATTTTGCCGTCATTTGCGGCAACGTGTTAATTGGATATTGAAGGGAGAATTAAACCCGGTAAGACACACAGGTGTTAGGGTTTCAGTTTTGTTGTGGTTGTTTTTGGTTTTTTTGTTTGTTTGTTTTTTGTTTTTTTAACCAGGCAGTTAACGTTTTCACATACTTATACTCACTGCTTTCAGTTTCAGCGAGGTCCAAGTTTTACCTTCATGAACCACGAAATAGCAAACCTAATTGGGTGAAAGTTGGACTGACCTTGGGCGCTTCAGCCTTCTTGTGGGGCTATGTAAGTACTTTATTTATGAAACTCCAGTAGATTAAGTGAAAAGAATATTAATGTGGCATTGAGTGTTGCTAGTGACTCATAATTTTGAATATTTATGTAATTACCAATAACATAAGAGGGACTGAAAATTAAATTTTATTTGTCCAGAAAAAATAGAGAGCTCCGGTGGCCTAATAGTAAGGCGCTGAGCTGAAGTCCTAAAGGCACACGGTTGGAATCCACCACCTTCTCCGTGGGAGAGGAGCAGGCAGTCTCCTCCCAGTTGGATTAACTGCCTCTGAAAATTTACTGGAGGGTCGGTTTTGAGTTGGTTTCAACTGGACGGTATACAGTAACAATAACAAAGAATATATGACGAGGCTGAAATTTCTGTTATTGTTACAAGTCTAGTTCTTTAAGGAATGGAAATTTTTATTAATTGCAATTTCTTTTGGCAGTTGATATTTAGTAAATATTTAGAGTGTCCCTTAGTGACAAGAATGAAACTTTGTTACACATAGTTTGTTTCCAAGAGGGGCTAGTCCTTGAAAAAGGATGATACACTGGGAAAGGTCGAGGATTAAAAAAAAAAAAAGACACTCAAGAAGATGATTGACCATTAACAGTGGGCTCGAGCATGTGTGGAGATGCTAAGGATGGAGCAGAATAGGGCAAAGTTAAGATCTTTTGTTCATAGGGTAGCTGTGAGTTAGAGAGGATTCCATGGCACCAGATGACAGCAGCAGATACCAATTACAGCTTCTTTATTTTTTAATAAGGATTGATGTTTTTAATGAAGGTGCTTTTTTTAGTAGCCAGGGGGACAAACCAACAATGAGTAAACTACAAATGAAATCTCATTAAACTTCCAAAACAGTTTTAATCAATGCATGTGTGTAATAAATGCATTTGTGAAAATTGTGCTTGGTGGTAGCAGCCCTTTTGTTTGTCTTTCTGTATCTCAAATGCTTCGTGTTAATAATTTTTTTAACTTTTACAGTAACACTGAGTAGAGGTACGGTTATTGTTGTTCTTTTATAGAGGAAGAAAGATTTCTTTGCTGAAAATTGTTTTCTTTTTTGTATCTGCCCCGGTTTTTACTTTTTTTCGAGATAAGGGAGTGCTCTTCACTCCAAAAACGTTTCCAACAATATGTCAATAGAGAACTGTCAGATGCACAGGCTGGATTTAGAAGAGATCGTGGTACTAGGGATATTATAGCTAATGTAAGATGGATTTTGGCAGAAAGCAGAGAATACCAGAATGTCTATCTGTGCTCCATTGACTATGCAAAGGCTTTTGACTGTATGGATCACAACAAGCTATGGCTGACTCTGAGAAGAATGGGAATCCCAGAACATTTGTTTGTGCTAATGCGAAACCTATACTTGGACCAAGAGACAGTCATCAGAACAGAGCAAGGAGACACTACATGGTTCAAAATCAAGAAGGGGGTCCGTCAGGGATGTATTTTGTCTCCATGCCTTTTCACTCTGTATGCAGAACAGGTCATCCGAGACGCTGGGCTGTACGAGAAGGAATGTAGCATCAGGATTGGTGGAAGAATCAACAACAACCTGCATTATTCAGATGACACAACCCTGCTTGCTGAAACTGAGGAGGACCTGAAGGGCTTGCTGCAGAAGGTCAAGGACTGCAGCCTTCAATATGGATTGAAGCTCAACATCAAGAAAACAGATCTCACCACTGGGCCAATTGGCAGCATCAATATGGATGATAAAGAGATTGAGAAAGTTAACAGTTTTAGTTTACTTGGTTCCACAGTCAACACTCTTGGTAACAGCAGCCAGGAAATCAGGAGAAGAATTGCACTGGGAAAGTCAGTACTGAAGAGCAACGACATCAGGCTGGAGACTAAGGTGAGCCTGATTCAGGCTGTAGGCTTTGCATTTACGTGCTGTGCATCTGAGAGGTGGACAGTGAATAGGGATGATAGGAAGAGAATTGATGCCTTTGAGTTGCGGTGCTGGAGAAGAGTGTTGAATATACCATGGACTGCTAGGAGAACTAACAGGTTTGTCCTGGAGAGGGTGAAGCCTCGGAGAGTGTTCCTTGGAGTCAAGGATTCTGAAGCTTCATCTGACATACTTTGGGCTTGTTGCAAGGAGGGACTGGTCCTTGGAGAGAGACATCATGTTTGGGAGAGTGGAGGGATGGCGCAGAAGAGGAAGACTCTCGATGAGATGGATGGGTTCTGTGAATGGAGTGGCGGGAATGAGTGTGTTTGAGACGGCAAGATTGGCACAGGATAGAGCGGCGTTTAGGGCTCTTGAACGTAGGGTTGCTATGAGTCGCAAGTGACTCAATGGCACATAACAACAAACAACTTCACTCCATTATTTTGTATTGCTTGCCTTTTCCTTTTCCTAACTTAATATGTGTCTATTATCTATTGTTGTCAGGTTCTGTCTTGTAGAGTATAACTCACAGCAATTCTATGAACAACAGATCTGAATCCTGTCCTACCCTCCACCATCCTCATCATCTCTGGCACACATGAGCTCACTGCTCTAGTCACTGTGTTGAATTAACAACACAGATGGATTATCTTGTTGAGAGTTTTCCTCTCTGCTGCCGATCCTCCACCTTTTTCATGCCTCTCCTATTCACATGCCCAAACTGTGGGAGAGGAAGTTTCATCGTCTCTGCCTCCAAGGAGCATTCTAGCTGCACTTTTTCGAAGATATATTTGTTTGTTGTTTTGATAATCTGTTGGATATTCAGTACTCTTCTCCAACACCACAACTTAAAGACATCAGTTCTTCTGCTGTTATCCTTATTCACTGTCAAGCTCTTAGATGCATAGCAAGTGATTGAAAAGACTGTGGCCTAAATCAGGAGCACCTTGGTCATCACACTAACATCTTGTTCCTCAGCGATGTGGAGAAATCCCTGACAGTCGGACATCATTGCTCCTCAGTAATTTGGAGAGTTCCCTGACAGTTCCATACCTCTCCTGATTGCTTAACTGCTGGTACCAAGGATCTTAGTAAGATGAAATTGGTAACAATTTCAATCCTTTCTTCATCTATTATGATCAGCTCAGTAGTGAGGATTTTTGTCGTCTTGACATTAAGATGCAATCCATGTTGCAGTTTATAGTCTTTAATCTTCTGCAGCAAATGGTTTAAGTCCTCATCACTTGCAGCAAGGAGCTTATCTGTATAACACAGGTCGTTTATGAATCTTCCCCTGATACTGATGCCACATTTTTCACAGAGGAGCTTCTTGAATGATTTGCTTAGCATGCGGATTGAATAGATAGAAAGGATACAACCCTGAAACATACTATTCTTGATTTTAAACTATGCAGAATTCCCTTGCTTCATTCAGATAGCAGCTTCTTGGTCTAGATATGTTTCATATGAGCATAATTAAATATCCTAGGATTCTGTTATCAGTGTCAACCATAGCTTGTTATGATCCAGTTAAATGGCTTTGCATAGTCAATGAAACAAATAGACTGTCTTCTGGTATTCTGCTTTCAGCCAAGATTCATCTTGCATTGCCGCGATACCCCTGGTGCCGTGGTCACCTTTAAACCATGCTTAACCACGTTTCTGCAAATGACGGCTATAGCCATCATGCACATTTTAATTAATAAAAAAGGGAAAATAATTCCTACAAAGTGTACTAATGCATTTATTTGTTAATTATTCAGTAATACATAAAAAATGTGTTTCTTAGTATGATTGTTAATTTTAAAAGTGTGCTGCAACGTGTGAAACTTCTGGAACTTTTCTGTCACTGAACTATTTTTGGATGGTCTTCAACAGTATTTTGCTTGCATATAGTTTAGTACAAGTGGCTCGATGGCACATAACAACAGTAGTTCCATAATTTCCACATGCAATTGGATCACCTTTTGTGGGAATGCGAACAAATATGAATCTCTTATAGTCAGTCAGTTAGGCAGCTCTCCTCCAAATTTCCTGGCCTAGGCTGGTGAGCACATCCAAGGCTGTAACATGTCTGTTGGGATCCCATCAATTCATGGAGCTTTATTTTTTGCCAAAGCCTTGAGTGTAACTTGAATTTCTTCGTTCACTATCTTTGACTCTTGTTCATATGGTACTTCCTGAAATTTTTCAGTATCAACCAGTTATTTGGGTACAAAGACTCTGTTTATTCCCCATATCTTTATCTCTCCCCTTCTTTTTTTTCCTTCTTGTGTACTGGCGAGTTGGATCTCTCTGGCACAGGAGGAGATTTCCCCTCCTCCAACAGAGCATCTGGTGGATTCGAACCACATGCCTTCAGGATTGCAGCACAACTTCTTGCCAATAGGCCACCAGAGCTCCCCTCACCCATTTTTTAATGCCTACTGAATTATTCAAGATTTTGCCAGTAGCAGCTCTTAGTATTGAAACTTGGGACTTAAATTTGTTTTTCAGTTCTTTTAGCTTGAGAAATACTGAGTGAGTTCTTAAGTTTTTGTTCTCCAACTTCTTTTCACTTTCCATTGTAATACTTTGTTTTCTCAAACTGCCCTTTAAAATCTTTTGTTCAGCTCTTTTACTTTGACATCTTTCCCCTTTGTTTTGGTTTCTTGATGCTCTAGTACAATTTTCAGAGTCCCTTCTGATGTCCATTTTGGTTTTTTCTTTTGCTCTCTTATGGATGTTATCCTTAATGTCATTCCATGGTCCTACTAGTCTTCAGTTATTGGTATTCAGTGCCTCATACCTGGTTTGTTGTTTTAATTGTAAAAATACATGTATGGGGATCAGAGAGGGTAAGGAAGCAAAAAGGTGAGGATGGATAGGGGTGAAATCACAGGGTTACACAATTTGGTGAGTAGAGGGCAGGGTTAGGGTTAGGGTAAAAGAAATGAGAATGTTCTGGCCAGGAAAGACAGGGTAATGGTGGGCATAGGTCCAAGGATGATTAATTCTTGGTTGGTTTTTTTTTTTTTTTTTACAAAGAGATTGTCTTTTCCATTTGAGAATATGGGTGCAGATTCTCTGGCTGTTTCATGCTAAACAGGGGCATTGAGATGAAGAGGACCAGGAGCCCACATTAACACTTTACTGGTGGTCTTGAGTTGAAGCTGCATGCCTCCTTGTTCAGTTAGAAGATATTTTCATGACATTTTCTGCCCTCTGGACTGCAAGGTATTTGCGTAAATGAGACCAGTGGAAGTGGCTAGCTGAACTTTGAGGCTTCATCCACCTTCACTTCCTTAGCTGGCAGTTATATTTCCCTTTTGTCTCTGGAACCCAGTTCAGGTTCTGGAACCAGACTCAGTGTTCAGATGACCTATAGGAAAGGGAGAACAAACTTGGCAGTTACAAAGAAAAGTGCTTTGGAGGTGTTGCTTACAAGTGTACTGGAGGAGGAGATAGAGAAAGGTGGCTTAGATAAAGTTCCTCATACACACCAGGGGTCACTCCCCAGGGTCCTGGCAGCACTCCCCAGGAACCAGTGGCTCTCCCTGCCCAGGGGCTGGAGCAGCACTCCCCAGGGGCCAGAGCAGCACCTCATACCTGTTCTAAGATGATTTTTTCATTCAGGTTGATAGACTCAGGATCATGCTAGACTCAGATTTTAGTTCTTGTGAACTTGTGTTCATTTTCTTCAGCTTCATTTTGACATGAATATTTGATGGTCTATTATCTAGTTACAGATATTTTTAGGGTTTTCTCCCAGGACCCAATTCTATGTGACTTTAAAGACCATACTACAAACCTTTACGAAAAACTCTCTTGTTAATTTTTTTTAAAAATGTAGACTTTTATAAATAACCTTTTTTTCTGTTTTTTTTTCTTCTAATAGCCTTTTGAAGTTGTTCTGTACCAGTTGTGTTTCTCCACTGACTTTGTCCTCAGCTCCTTTGATTTTCTTATTAATGAAGTTCAGATCTCTGACATGGGAAGGGTTAAGAAATGTTAAAAATTCCATAGAACTTGACAAGAGTAATTAATCCATTTCCATGTTTGTTGTGATGAAATTTCATACATTTTTAATTTCACTTACAGTTTTTTCTAAAAAGGAACTATTGCTTCTGTAGAAATGAATGATTGAATTATTTTCTGTGAAATTGAATGATGGTTTTTTATTGCAGTGACTGTCAGCAGTAATTAATCAATGTTTAGGTTACATGTTCTATCAGGCAGCAGTTGTATAAAAAAGTGATTTTCCTTCATAAAACCTAATTGTAGTTTGCGGATAGAGATTGTCATTCACTCTTAACTTATTAACTGCTATGAATTTTATAAACTTCTAAGGTTAGAATAATAAAATAACTCATTAATCAGTCTAGATTCAATTTAATAGCTAAATTATGCAAGTTGCGTTATATATTAATTGTGCCCCTCTGTAGTAAGTCACTCCATGACAACTAAAGGAATCTATTAGAAAGAATATTATTGCTGTTAAGTCAGAACCAGCATACAGCTGACTCACATGTGTTTTCAGACACTGTAAAAATTACATGGGAGGAGATTGTCCATGTTACTTCTGTTGCTAACTAGAATAGTTTATGTTTTCATCTCTTCTTACTCATCTTGCAAAATACCACACAGTGATATATAAGTAATATCAGTAGCCTCTTTAAGTTGCTGGGGAAATTGCCTTTCTAATTTTAACTCTTTCCTTCTAGCTAATCAAACAACACAATGAAGATGTTCTAGAGTATAAACGAAGAAATGGATTGGAGTAAACTACTTAAAGATAGTAAGTATCCAATTCATAGAATGACTGTATAAGTTCATCTTTTTTTTAGTTCATCTTTTTGATGTCATATTTTTATTGTCTTTTAATTAGATTTCTGCTTTTTAGCACCTAAATTTCTTGATTTCTAGTATTTCTTTTACACATAAAAATGTATATTTTCTTTTATGAAATTCAGATTATACTGTTCCACACACAGCCTGCTTAGTGGTTTTGGTGGGGGGTATTTTTGGTGTGTAAAATTTCTACATTGTAATTTCACTTTTCTCACTTCGTTCCTGTGGTTCTTGTTTTCATTAATCTGTCTATCTTACTCCTTCTTATTTACCCTTTTGACTTTATAGTTCCAAGGAGTGCCTCCCTGGTGTTTCTGTGTACCATTGAGTTGGAACTGACCTTCCCTGGCCCTCCAGAGGGTTTTCAAAGGCTGGAAACCACACGAAAGATTGCCCAGTTTTCTCTTGGAGGAACTGGTGGATTCAAAACCACAGTTCATAACCACTTAGGAGATGAGTTTTGATCCAGAGTGACTAAAGACCAAAGTCTTAGGATGTTCACTTGTTTCCATCTGACAAATTTTTTATGTTCGTGGTTTTGGTTTGTTTTTTATTTGTTCCTCATTTTCCCCACTCTATCTGAAATCTTCTACTTCATAGTGGTTAACAGTGATAGCTTGGCACCATTTACTTCTTCTAATCCCAGGACCATGGTAATAGAGGTTTATATGGTTCATTGGTCCAACTGATTATTTTTATGCATCTTTGCTTTTCTTTTTTCTTTCTTTGCACCTTAGATGACTGCTTGTAAGCTTTGATGACCCCTATTGTTATACACCAAAGTTGTTGTTACGTGCTGTTGAGTTGAAATAATGTTGCATAGTGACACTTTGAACAAAAGATCTGAACCCTGTTCTGTCCTGTGCCATCCTCACACTACCTGACATACAGGAGCCCATTGAAGCAGTCATCATGTCAGTCCAGCAAGTTGAGGGTCTTCTTTTTGCTGACCCTCCATCCTTCTCAGCACCACGTCCCACTCCAAGGAATAGCACCTCCTAGCAACATGTCCAAGGTATGTGAGACAAAGCCTCATCATTCTTGCCTCCAAAGCACATTTTAGCTGCACCCTCTTCAAGACATATCTTCGTTCTCTTGGCCGTCCATGGGATGTTCAGAGTGCTTTTCTCCAACACCACAGTTTAAAGGCATCCTTTTTCTGTCATTTTTATTCATTGTCTAGCTCTCAGATGCATAGCTAGTAATCGGAAGGACTATGGCCTGAATCAGACATACCTTAGTCCTAAAATTGACATGATTATTCCTGAAAAATTTGGAGAGGTCCCTGATTGCAGACTTTTAGTACGATGTGTAAACTATAGAACATTATCATTAATAATCACATGTAAGCAAAATACTACTGAACATCATTTGAAGATTGCTAGAACAGTACATAGATAGGGAATTTCTAGAAATTCAAGCAGGATTTAGAAGAAAGAGGCCATGGCACCAGGGATATCATTGCTGATGTCAGATGGATCCTGGCTGAAAATAAAGAATATTAGAAGAATGTATTTTTATGCTTTATTGCCTATGCAAAGGCATTGTGTGGATTATAACAAGTTGTGGCAGAAATTGAGAAGAATGGGAATCCCAGAGCATCTTACACGGAACCTATACATGAACCAGGAGGCTGTTGTGTGAACAGAGCAGGTAAACACTGCATGGTTTAAAATTGAGAAGGGAATGCATCAGGATTGTATTCTCTCTCCATACCTATTCAATCTGAATGTTGACCAAATTATCTGAGAAGCTGGACTCTATGAGGAGGACCGTGGCATCAGGATTGGAGGAAGACTCATCAATAACCTGCATTATGCAGGTGGCACAACCTTGCTTGCTCAAAGTGAGGAGATCTTGAAGCACTTGTTACAGAAGATCAAAGAATGCAGCCTTCAGTATGGATTGCATCACAATATTAAGAAAACAAGATTCTTAAGCACTTGGACCAATAGGTAGCATCATGATGGATGGAGAGGAGATTGAAACAGTCTACAGCTTCATCTTGATTGGATTCAACAAGTAGGAAGTAGAATATTGGTTTTGTGCACTATATTATGCCAGTTGATCTTGATTTTCCTCAAGAGTATAGTCCCAAAACCATGACAGCTCTTCTTCAGGTTATTTCTTTATTTATGATTAAAAAGATTATGCAGCTTTGACCCTTATTAGTCTTGGATACCTTTAGTTACGTATACTAGTTTGAATGTAGAAATATCACCTGTCAGACCTATATATGGTCCTTTCATTTCCATATCTCTTCATCTTACCTGTTTGCCTTTATATCTCCTAGTGAATCTGACCAACCAGAGTTGCATGGCCTCTGGGTTAGCCATGCTACTTGAAATGAGCTGTGACACAAGAGCCCTCTTTTCTTTATATAGATCTTTTGTATCTCTAGTTAGATTGATTAAATATTTCATCTTTGGATGACTATTGCAAATTACATTGTTTTCCTTTCTAAAGTTTTCATTGTTACTGTAGAAGAATTTTGCATGTTGATCTTATGTCTTACTACAGTGCTAAATCTTTCAATTAGATCCAGTAATTTTTTGCTAAGTCTTTGGGCTTGTCTCTATATATATAGGATCATATACCCTGCAAATAAAGATAATCTTAGTATTTCTTTGCCAGTCTCATTTATTTTTTATTTTCTTGCCTTAATGCTCTGGTTAGAGAGCATTATTACATTACTGTGGTATGGTGGTGATAATGAGCATCTTTGTCTAGTTCCTCTTAGAAAGGGAAATGCCTTCAGGCTCTCTCCATTGAGACCATTGTTGTCTGTTGGTTGTTTATATACTCTTTTTTTAAAAAAAATTATTTCTTTTTATTATTATTATTAAATTTTATTAGTTTCAATGAACATTTACAGAGATTTTGGGTTTTCATTCATTCATTGTTGCACTGTTTTGTTTGTATACTCTTAACTAAGTTGAAGAATTTTCATTTATTTTTTTTAAATGTTTTTACCCAGAAATAGTGTTGAATTTTGTTAAAAGCCTTTTTAATGGATGGGTCATGTCAATTGATGTAGTTCTTTGGTTTTGTTTATGTGGTAGCACCCATATTCCTGCTTGTGACACATTTATAAATATTTAATACCTTGACTTTGAAGCATTTGTTAACAATAATTTTTAATTATGACTCTGGTTGTTGTTCAAGGGAAGTTGTGCTTATGAAAGAAGATAGTCATTATTTTGAAATAGTACTCCACACAAAACCTCCATAGCATTATGTGATGAAAATTATTTGTGTATGTATTTCATAATAGCTTTTTTGACATATTCTATACTTGGCTGTATATTCTGCAAGATTAGGAACTCTTTTCATCATTGTGTAGTCAACAACTTGCCTAATACCTAACCAAAGAGTTTAATATTTATTAAATGTATAAGAGCAGTAGGTTTTTGTTCTTATATTTTTCTGAATAATTATGTCAGTATCGCTAATGACCAGTTGGTTAATTCCTGGTAAAAACCAGATATAAACAAGACTAAATACGCTATTTGAGGTGTGATTTAAAATTTATTTTTGTGGAAAGAATAGGAGTAGCCTTACCACATTTCCATTAACTGCACAAGGGAAAGCAACAGTCCCCATCAACAACATTCACAACAAAACAAATTCCCATGAGCACAAACATGCCTCTTTCTCTGTTGGAACGTCCTTCTACCAATTCTAATATGAACCACCCCTCCTAGGGCTCTCACTGGGTCTGATAATCTGTTTAATTGGTCATGCTGAACTTATAGAACCATATTCACACTTGTAAGTTTTATTAGGACATTAACAGTTTACAATTCACCTTGGAAACAGATGCAGTTCTTCAGTCAGGACAGTTTCTCAAGCATGCTCCCAGGTGCTGTGACCTTCAGCCTCTTGGCTTCAGTTCACTGTTCCAAAGCTCTTCCTGTTGTGTGCCATTTAGTCAGAACTATTTCATAGTTGAGCCTGCGGTGGGTTCTTACCACTTCACTTCCAGAGCCTTGCCAATTATGGTGTTTCTGCTCCAGTCCTCCTATAAGTTTAGGCAAAGGGCCTTAGATCTGGCTCTGTTGGAGAGCATCCCCATGTCAGCTCTGCCTCATGTTAACCTCTGGTTCTCCACTGCTGTTGCTGCTCTTATCTAGGACCCAGGCTGACTGATGAACGAATCTCTGGCCCTAAAGGACACTTGGTAAATTTTCTGCCGCCTCTTACTTGCTGGTAGCAAGATTCTTATTTCCTACCACAAAACCTTCTCAAGTTAAACCTGACAGGATGTTAAAACTGACTAATCCTGTCTTGAATCATTTATATACCTTGTTTAACCCACCTAGCAATTGTGGCACAGACAAACAAAATGGTCTAGAAAGGCCATTTTGAACAGTAAAACCACCATACCACAAAGAATATACTGACTCATTGTATCGAAAGGAATTACCAGCCGCAGAAGAATTTAATGAAACAACATATGAGCAAGAGCCTATGGTGATGAAGAAAGAAGTTCAAGCTGCTTTGAAAGAAATAGCAAAAAATAAGGCCCCAGGAATAGATAGTATACCAGTTGACATATTTCAGCTAACAGATGCTGCCCTGGACGTGCTCACCAAGTTGTGCCAAGAAGTCTGGAGAACAACCACTTGGCCAACTGACTGGAAGAGATCTATATTTGTTCCCATTCCAAAGAAGGGTGACCCAACAGAGTGTGGAAACTATGGAACAATATTGTTGATTTCACATGCAAGCAAGATTCTACTGAAGATATCCAAAAATGACTGGAACAGCACATCAACAGAGAACTGCCAGAAGTCCAGCCTGGGTTTAGAAGGGGTCGTGGTACTAGGGATATTGTAGCTAATGTTAGATGGATATTGGCTGAAAGCAGGGAGTACCAGAGGAATGTCTATCTGTGCTTCATTGAGTATGCAAATGCATTTGACTATGTGGA